CGCATGTTCATCCGGGTACACTAGGCGTACCCAAGGTTACACCGGCCTTGCACTATAAAAGGAACATGTAGTCCCTTTCCCTAGCCACCATACACCCTTGAGAGAACCCTTGGAGAGCTGAGATTTGTGCTTTAGCTTGTGTGTGAGTTTTTGAGCTTGAAGTTGTCTTTTCAAGGTGAAGAAGGAGAAGAGGGAGCCATTGTTGGAGCTAGAAGTTCAAGAACAAGTGTAGATCCGAGTTCTACAGTGGTTGGAGATCCGTCCTGAGGTAAAAAGCTCAAAGTTTTCCTTGTTCTTCATAAGTTTTGCTTGTTGGACCATTTTTAGGGTTTTTGGTTCAAAGTTGGAGACTTTATATGCAAAGAGTCTCCATAAGCTTAGATCTGGCCTTTTCTAGTGTAAAATGTGTTGAGAAGTCATAAAAATCAAGTCTTGGATGTGGATCTTGTGGCATGCATGATTTATAGTCTCATTATGGAAAGAGGAAAGGTGTTTTGAGCACAAAGTGACATTTACAGCCATGCAAAGGCTTAAAGGTTCCAACTTTATGGTTTAAGACATATAAGAGGGCTCAGATCTGAAGTTCGGATGCAAGTCTTAACTGTTTAAGACCTAAATGGGCTGAACAAAGAAACCGGGCATTACGATGGGCGTAATCCCAGTACGCGCCGCGTAAGGGGTTGCCTACCCCATTTCTGGAAGGCAAGGGTACGCCCCGCATACAGGAGCTGGTACGCCCCACGTATTGCTTGCTATTGACTTTTAGGGTTTTAGTCAACATGTGTACTTTTGGGTCAGGGAAGGGTAAATTGGTCTTTTACCCTTCTGTAGAATCTTAGAAGGGATATAGTATAGCCTTGAGATCCGTTAATGATTTAGAATAATTATTTGAAGTGATTAGGCGAGGCTAGGTCGAAGTTACGAGATTCAGAAATATCAAGCACGTGAGACTTCGACATCATACGAGGTGAGTCTTCTCACTATACTATACATGGAAGGGTACTTATGTGTAACCGGAAGGTCTGGTATGCTATAAGATATATGCACTATATGTTAAGTTGCCTGTGTTTGTATGCGATATGTATGTTATGCTTGATTTGGGCCGGAAGGCATTATGTTATGGGCCGGAAGGCATTATTATGTAGACCGGAAGGTCGGGGAGTTATGGACCGGAAGGTCGACACGGGTGGGATCGGAAGGTTTCCCGGGTCGGGACGGAAGTCCCCTGAGACACATGGACCGGAAGTTCACAGCCCTCAAGGGCATATGTGTGTAAGTGGTATATTGGGGAACTCACTAAGCATTTATGCTTATAGTTTTTGTGTTATGTGTTTCAGGTACTAGTGAGGACCGAGGGAAGGCGCCGGCATGACTCGTACAGACACACACGCAGGCAGATTTGGATTTATTTGATCTTGGGATTTAACATGTTTTGTATTATGATTATGATACATTGGATTTTTATGGTTTGATTTGGATGAAATTATGTTTTTAAGAAATGAAAAATTGTTTTGAAAAATTACGTTGTTACGGATGCAGTACGTTGTTCTTGGGAGTCGGGAGACTCGGTGACCCGCTGGTTTGGATCATGTGGTCAGGAAAAGTTATCTAGAATGATATATTATTTGTGCACCGGGGGTCGCTTAATGAATGGTTTCTATGGTGGACTCCATCTTCTTGTGAGTTGTCTATTAGGAGTTGATTTCCAGTATGAGGAGTTGGTTCTAAAATCTCGAGTGATTTGTTAGGTGGAGGTACACCTAAGCTGATGAGGGACTTCGATGCAATGTGTGAATTCTTGGATTGGCCATTCTTATGCCTATGGGTGCAGCGGGTTGGTGATGATTTTTCAGGAAGTCAAGAGTATATTTAAAGTTTTTGGTCGGAATTCGCGATCAGAATGTTTTGAGTATCTTTTCAGCAAGTTTTGGTGGTGTCCCCAGTTAGGGACTAGGGGTAGGCTCGACGAATGGATGATCATCAGTCTTAGGGTAAGGTTTCTGAGAACATACCGATGGGTTCCCGGTTTCAGGAAGTATAGTGACAAGGAAGTTTTGTGATTATAGTACTAAGAGTCACTGGTTTGTGTGGTTTTCTCTGACAGTTAGGTCATGCAGTTAGGGAGAGAAAGAAAATTGTTGTGTCTGAGCATTTTTCAAGTTATTAGGTTATTTGCTGGCACTTGGGGGTTTCCAAGTGATCTCTTGAGTTTTACTTATAAGATTCTTTGATATCGATATGGTTAAAGGGAGTTTATAGAATATGTTGGTGTTATTTTAGAAATCTTAACCGAGACAGATTTCGAGGACGAAATCTAGTTGAAATAGGGGAGAACTGTAACATCCTGTTTCCTGCCATTTCTGGTCCGTGGGCAGAAAGTTAATTGTGTAAGGCTTTGGGTCTTAAGGAGTCAAATTTTAGTCCTTGTGGAAGGTGATAATGTTAGTTAAGAGATTTTACCCTTGAATTGTGTTTTAGGTCGAATGGTAGAAAGGGAGAAGTCATAGGCCGGGTTCTTGCATGAAATATGGATTTTTATTTGAGAAGTTTTTAGTCTAAGATCTTTAGATAATATTCAATACCTTCTTGTGGATATAAAGAACGTCGAAAACGGAGTTGGCACGAAAACGTTACGACCGTTTGAAGTTAGGCAATTTTGGGCCACCCGCGTACGCAGAGCGTACCAGGGCATCCCAAGTACGCTAGGCATACTCAACATGTACGTTGGGCGTACTAGGATACCCCTAGTACGTTGGGCGTATATTGAGTACGCAGGGCATACTCGATCAGTGCCCAAACCCTATTTTCATGGTTTGAGCCCTATTTAAGATCCTTAACTTCCCTAAACCCACTCCATTCTCAACCTCCACCTCTCCAATGCCCTCTCTTGAAACCCTAACCCTAGATTGAGCCGTGTGATAAAAAAGAACGTGTTTTTAAGTGCGTTGGAGTGTTCTTGGTGCGCCTTGGAGAAGAAGGAACTCATGGATGAAGTGTTGGTTGCATTGGAGCTTGTAGATCCAGACTTTATTCACATTGATCTTTCTTATAGAGGTATAAAATTTTAATCTTGATGATGATATTATTAGATCTAGCTAGTTTTGGGTGTTAGGAGCTTTTGGTAACTTTAAGTACATATAGTTTAGATCTTTGAAGTTTGTGATCTTGTTATGGATAAAGTTGGAAATTCTATCCATCTAAACATCATTTTGATTTAGATCTGAAGATTAGAGACTTGGACTTAATGGATATTTTTCTGATAGTTTGTTGGCTGGTTATATGTTTATATATTATATGTGCACATATTTTGAGTTGTAGTTGAGGATTTACTGCTTTGTGCATGAGCCAACAGACTGGGGGTATTCCATCCCGAGGATGACTAGACTGGTTGTATATTGTCATTCCAACCTAGGGTATTCCATCCTAAGGATGACTAGACCTTATGGTTGACTGGGCCTGGGGTACTCCTACCCGATGGTTGACTAAACTCGTTGTATATATTGGCATTCCAACTTAGGGTATTCCATCCCGATGATGACTAAAGCCTATGGTTGATTGGGCCTAGGGTATTCCAACCCGATTGTTGATTGGACCCGATATGTTTGTTGTATATATTATTTGTTTGTTTTTTGGTACTTTGGTAGAACTCACTAAGCTTCATGCTTACAGTTTCGGTTTATTGTTTTAGGTACTTCAAATGATTGTGGCAAGGCCAAGGCGTGACCGTGCACATCCTCAGATTTCCTGATTGATTAGATCATGGGAGACTCTGATTTTAAACAATGTTTTGGAAACAATGGTTTTGTAAACACTTCTTTTAGTAAATTGGTTGTTTTAAAAAGTTTAAATTTGTTTAAACTTTTGGGACATTTGATGAAAATTTTAAAGACCAAGATGATTACAAGAAACTGAAGATTCGTTTTCATGCAGTTTTTGGTAAAAGCAAAGAAGAGGTGTGGTCACTTGTTAAAATCGTGAAGGTTTTATCAATAGTCCCTAATATTCCATTTGAAGGATGGATACAAAATTTTTGATATTCTGTTGTTCGAGCTAACAATGTGGAATTCGAGTTTACAGTAGCATGTTTTCTATTGATGAATCTCAACAATCTCATCACAATGAAAATTTTTTTGAGTCAAGTACACAAATCACAAATCCATGAAGAAAATTGTGATGCATTAATCACTGGATATGGACATATATCAAGGATTTTATTGATTGCTACTATTTGTACTTGGTAGAAACAGATATTGATCTGGCCATGGCAATCAATAAATCATCAAAGGTTCCAAAATTATTTCTGAGAGGAAACATCAACATTGATGAAATTGAAGACGGAGAAATAATTCATCAACTACTTTGGGTTGTCTTTCAAAGAGAAAATAACAAAAAGAGAAAAGAAGAAATTATTGTTTCGTACTGATGATCTGGAGAGATACACGAACTCTCATTTTTCGAGCGTCTTGCTTCGTATCAACAATTGCCAAAAGAAAGATAATGAAGACAAGGTAGAGGTTCAGAAAATCCTACTTTGGCACTTGGAGATAAGAAATGTTTTGCTATAGGCTATGAAGACACTTCCTTGAAGATTCGATTATTCTCACAAAGGAGGAGCATGTTAGGTCGAAAGTTGTTATGAGAGTCGAAATGTAGTGTCTTTGTCATTGGGTCTGTAAATAGCGAAAATTTAAGGACTTTCTTTATGCTAATATATTTACAAGGCATAAGAATGTTTCTTAATGTCATGTTTAGTCATTGTATTTTTTTGGTCTGTGAGTACCTTATAAATAAGGTAAGTACTTAGAGTATAGAATAAGAGCTTTTTGCATAACACTTTTGTACTCGTATTCTCTTTGTATCTTTTCGGGCATAGTGAGCTGAAAACAAATCTAGATCTCAGTGTTCTTACGTGCTTTCTTTAATTGATTAACTCAAACATATTTTGTTTAACTCTTCACACAGAGCATTTGCGTCGAATCCAAATCCTGGTTTGGCGTTCAATGTGTTCGTTGGTTTTAGTGATGTCAAGTTTTGTTGATCTCTTCCTTGGGTGCAATCTAGAAGAGGAGCTCTATGTTGGACTACAAGGGTATGTTTATATATTCCTTCTATGTTTTTGTTTTAAGTTGCAATTGATTTTGTTGAACATGAATCTATCTTTTGGCTTATGAGGTTAATTGTTTACTGCTTTAGTTTTACACTTGTATGGCCTCTTTAATCTCTCATACCCTATATATATATATATATATATATATATATATATATATATATATATGTGTGTGTGTGTGTGTGTGTGTATATATATATATATATATGGCCTCTTTAATCTCTCATACCCTATATATATATATATATATATATATATAATATATATATATATATATATATATATATATATATATACACTGAAAAAGGAAACTGAAAAAGGTAGAATAGACATTTTACCAGTGTGAAGGATCATACAACTTGAAACCATAAGGACTAGCGGCGTGACATTTTCTATAATTGTCTTTAAAATGTTATTTTTTGTAAACAACATGGACTAGTTTTGAAATTTAATATAGCTTTTTTAATCAAGAATATGTAATATATATTTTGTTTACTTTTTTATTGTATAATTGAAGTGGGAAAAATTTAATACAAAACTAATTTAGTAATTTTTCAATATAAAGTAGAGATTACATGAAAGAGATTTTCGAAAGTCCACAGATTAAATATTGCTAATCGATAGAAATGGGAAATAAAAATATTTTATTAAAGATATTCCGCAGTAATATCATCATGACTATCAAAGTCATGTGCAATAGCATTATAAAACCAAATACGATGAGTAGAAGGGGTTTCTAAGTTGACCTAAGATCTAATAAGATTGAGGGTTTGATTAATTTAATCATTACTTTGTACATGATTTATAAAATAAATTTATATTTATTGTTTAGGAAATAATATTTTTTGACGATCTCATAGAGGTTAGGAAATTATTTGTTCAACAACAACCATTAAACTAACATTCTCATCCTCCCATCACTATATTAGCTACTTTGCGAAAACCAACTAAGCCTACACTTCTCTCTCGCCCCTTTCTTCTTAAGTTGTGCATCGCTAGTAACCACCTCCATTCTACGATGCAATTTGTTTATTTAATTGATCGTTTGAATCAATTATGTTGTAAGGGATAGTTGATTTTTTTTTAAACAGAAAACAAAACTTCAATTCAAAACAAGCATGAAACTAAGAGGTAAATTAAACTAACATTCCCATGCTTCTATCACTATATTAGCTACGGTGGGGATTAATAGTTGTGTCAAATGGTGGTGAAGGTAAGGTATCTTGTTGTAGCTGGATGGTGTCAATCAACAATAAAGATGAAAATGGATGATGCCGACTAGAAAATATGGTAGAAAATAGTTTAATAGTAAACTATATAAAAAAAATTAAGTAAATCATGTAAAAGAATCGTCAATGTGAGACTAGCTCACTTGATAGAGGTGAAAACCTTTTAGACAGGAGGTCTCGAATCCTCGGGTTCAAATCCAGACATGGACGAATTGACTAACCTGGCAGATTTAACATCTAACCACTAACCAATTGCTTAGAAAAAAATCATATATGCTCTTCTTAAACATCAAAAAATCATATTTACCCAACTTAATTTTAAAATATCATATTTACCCTTCATAAAATTTCTAAATATCATATTTACCCTTCATAAAATTTTAAAATATCATATATGTCCTTTTTAAACATCAAAATATCATATATGCTCTTCTTAAATATCAACATATCATATATGCATTTTTTAAATATCAAAATATAAATGATAATATTTAAAATATTCTCTATCTACAACATGATAATAATCAATAACAACAAAAACTAAAAAATCAAAATAGACATTCTATAGAGAGGGTTTAAGATGAATCTTTTTGTTTGTCAAGATGGGACATTCCAACAATTTAGAAGTTCACATTCCATTATATAGACGTAAAGATAATATGGTTAAAGTTTTTAATTATTATAATAATTCTAAGGTATAAAAAATGATTATAAAATATTAAAAAACATTATTAAAAAAGATTTGAGCAAATATGATATTTTAAAGGTTTACGAAGGATAAATATAACTGAACAAATATGATATTTTGAAATTTAAGAATGATATATATGAAATTCTCTAAAAATAAAAAAATAATATATACAAAATACATAATCAATTACCCTTTAAAATCATTATGTATAAGATAATTGAAACTTAAAAAGGAAATTATGACAAAACATTATCTTTTCTTCGTATGGGCGGCGGTTTATAAAATAATATTTAAAGTGTAAGAAGGATTCATATATTAAAAAAATAACAAAATCACCGTCAACTATATCAGCCAATAAAATAACTATATCAACTTTACGCCCATTGCCCCATTGTATCGGTAGGCTTTTCCACTTGCTTATTGCTATAAAATGGCGAAGCGAGAGAGAGAAAAAGAGAGAGGGAGAGAGGGATTAGCTCCCAAAATCATATCCACACAATCCCATACTCAAAAAAGTTAATCTTTCAAAGCAGCCGCACACACACGTAAAGATAGACAATCCTTTCTTATCAGTTATCATCCTTCTTCGCTACATCAACTATCGCCCATAACCCGTTTGACAAAATTCCCCAAAGAAAGCAAAAAGATAAACACGGAAAAGGGAAAGACAAAAGCCAACGCATTTTCTTTTTCTTGAAGTATGTTTTTGTGGGTGTGCGTAAGAACATTGTGTAAATGAGTTGTTGATGAGAAGAATCCAGTGAACTACCAATCAAAAAACTCCATCATAATACATCTTTTCTTCTTCTTCTTCTTCTTTACCACGACTCTTCAATCATCATCTCAAGCTATCTTTTTGGAATATACCATTAAATTGTTTATTGTGTATTGGAAATAAACCATTGTTTACATTTATCCTTTCATTTTTAGTTGTTGGGTTCACCTAACTCTTGGTACAATCTCAACTACCCTGATCTGTTTCTCCTAATTTACAACTTTTGTACTTGATTTCTATCCAAAACTTTGTGTTTTCTTTCTCAACGATTTATTGGATGCGTTCATCCTCTTTCAGAATCTAATCTGATACACATGCCCACTGATATTTCTGTCAGAAAACCCGTCTTAGATCTGACGTTCTCTCTCTTGATTGGCGAAAGAGGTAAGTCTTGACCCTTTCATTCTCTCTCATCTCGCTCTGTAAATCCTCAATCTCGAAACTTTTTTCTGGTTTAAGTTTTCATCGAAGAAGACGAGGCCCACAAGCTGGGTTTTGGGTGGGCTTCGTCTGAACAGAAACGAAAGAAAACCCCATTAATTTTGGAAGGTGGGGGCTTTTGAAATTCTTGAAGAATAGAAACTGGTGCTTTGTTCTCCACATCTTCCCCCTTTTTTAAAATGCTTTTTATCTTCGTTACTTGCTTCTCATTCATCCTCTTTTTTAAATACTCTCTTCCCATCAAACCACTCCCTTCTTGGGCATATGAGATGAGGTTACTCTCTTTCTATTTCTGGAAAGATTTGTCTTCCCTTTTCCCCTCTGTTAAACTCTTGAAGAAGACCCTCTTGTTTATGTTTTCAGCAAAGGGTATCAAAAAGAACAACACCACAAGAAACTCCGAGAATATGACATCATCAGAGGTCAATGAGAATGAGAATGAGATGTCTGTGTTGGATTTGCCTAATTTGGCATTGGAATGCATACTTGAAAAGCTTGAACCCGATGGGCTTTGTAAAATGGCTTGTGTTTGTAGCTATTTAAGGGATATGTGTTTGAGTGATCACCTTTGGGAAGATCATATGAAGAAAAGATGGGGTAGAGTGATTGGTGACGTGGCTTACAAAGAATGGCAATTACATATTGCTTCTAAAAAGCAATCGAATTACTTTCTTGATGGTGAAAATCGAAAAGGTTTAATGGGTTATTTGTGTAAACTTTGGCCTGTTATTTTACTTAAATCTAGCTCTATTACTTATAATGATAGCAAGAAAATGAAGCTTTCTTCTCAACCTCCCATTGATTCCATAGTTTCTTGCTATCGTGCGCTTCAGACTGGAAAGTTCTGGTTCCCTGCTCAGGTCTTCAATCGTGAGGTATGATTTCATTCTTTTGGCAGTGTTCGGTACTATGGAATCATGGATTCCATGGAATTGTTCATTCCATGGAATATGATTCCGATTACCATGTTTGATAATTATTGTTTTACAGAATGGGCATGTTGGGTTCATGCTATCTTGCTATGATGCTGACCTTAGTTATGATTCTCATACAGATACATTCCAGGCTAGGTAGAGCTCAATTACTTCTTCCAATTTTATTTCTCATTAAGACATTGTACTTCAAAAATCAAATAATGAAAGTACATTGCTATTTATTGGAAATATTGCAGATACCCACCTCATGGGAGGAGGGCAGCTGCAATTGAGACAGGTGTCACATGGGATAGGCTGAGGGCCCCACCTGTTGATAATTCACCTCATGATCTTCATATTTCAGATTGTTTGAATGATTTACGCCCAAAAGATCACATTGAGATTCAATGGAGAAGGAATAAACAGTTTCCTTATGGTTTGTACTTTCTTCTCCCTCATTATTTAAAGCGATGTATATACATGACATTGCTATGATTTTATAAAATAAGATTTTATAATAAATAAATCAATCAAAGTACATTGCTATTTCTTGATATAATAAAAAATGTCTCGGTAATTTATTCCATGTAAAGAATGATATCATTCTCCAATGCCTTGTGAAATCTTTTATATTATAAAGAAAGAAAAGCAGATGCTCTTTACAACATGACACATTCGTTTGTGTAGTTGGCTGCGATTAATTTGGAATCCTTTTTTTTTTTTTTTGAGTAAATTACACGAATGGTCCCTATGGTTTAAGGTAATTTGCGCGTTTGGTCCCTAATTTATTTTTTAACTCGGAAGGTCCCTAATGTTTGTTTTTATTATTCGCTTGGTCCCTGTCTTACATAAAAAGTCTATTTTTCCCTTTATTTTTTAATTTATTTAATAAACACACCCATAATCTCACCCTTCTCACCTTACTTTACGTACCCCATCATTTTTTCTTATTTAAATAATAGTCTTTTTAGGTATGATAGGGACGAAGCGCGTAACAAAAATAAACAATAGGGACCAAACATGTAATAAAAACAATCAGTAGGGATCTTCCGAGTTAAAAAAATAAGTTATGGACCAAACGCGCAAATTACCCCAAACCATAGGGACCATTTGTGTAATTTACTCTTTTTTTTTTCCTTGTCTTGCTCTAAAGTTCTTTTATTGGAATATAACCAATAATTCACCTCCACTTTGCTTTTCTTATTTTTTTAATGAAAGATAACGTTTCCTTCATTTTGGGAAAAGCCAGCTATTCAAAGTTGTGTCAAAATTGATCACTTGTTTTCTTGAGATATCAATTTTCTTTAAAAATGTAAACAACAAACATATGATCTCAAAAGATGTTCAATTTTTTTTATTTATTATTTATTATTCTTGTAGGTTGGTGGTATGGTGTTGTAGGCCACTTAGAAGCATGTGATGGTAATCAAACTTATTGCCACTGCCATGAAAATGGTAAGTTTTTATTACTTTACATAAAAATACCAGGGCGGATTCGGATTCGGATTTATCTGTGTGGACCAGTTCAGGGGTTACTAAAAGAATAATTTATTTATTATTACATAAAGAAAGTAAACAACCACGTAACTAATTTGCCGTTCATAATGAATATCATATGGGATCCATGGTGTGGCTTAATGTTGTTCATATGATAACAACTAAACGTGTCCAACTATTAAATAGACCCCATAAAAGTGATAGTTGACAATTATTTCCCTTTTGAACATTGACATCTTTGATTATATGCCTATCACCCGACAACCTCACTATTCTATAAGGTCCATACCTATATTAAAATCTATGATTAGGAATATGTCATATTTCAATGCACACCCTCTTAAAAAAGTGGTCCAGAAAGATGTTGTACACTTATCAATTTGTCATGATCTATTAAAACATTGCGCTTGTTTTGTCAAGTGGAATGGTCCATGGTGTATGCCATTCATTAAAATCATTAATGTTCTTCTCGAGTTTTTGATTGAGTTACAATGATCCAACTTGTGGTTTTAATTATGTTGTCGGTTTTGTTTTCTTTGGTTTAATTTTGTGGGGTCGAGCCTTGGGGCATTTGCGTAATTTTGACTTTTACGTTTTAAGTACGAAAACGTCCTCTTTTTAGTGCAATTAAAAAGTTTCTACAAAATTGTTACACGTGACCCCTTTTAGTATATGGGTGTAAAAAAAAAAAAATTAAAGCATGTTGTGAGACACAAATGTAAAAGCCCAAAACCTCGTATACTCAATTGCTTGGACTCGAAGCTTTCCTTGTTTCTCTGTAAAAAAAAATTCATCAGGATACCAAAAAAACACAAATTTAAATAAATTTAACAAATGAATTTTTAGGCCAAAATAAATAAAAGACACTATTTTAGCCAATAATAATCATAAAAATTTGACAATTTTAGTGGCTTTAGTGGAACATTAGTATCAAAATTTTCAGTAAAGCCACTACATTTAACAATTTTCTATTGCAACTGTTTTAATATGCTATAATCGTGTCATAACAAGTCAAAGTCGTCAATATGTAGAAAAAAATATCAAACTTGGGTGACTTTTATTGACAAAACTGTAATATAGCAGTGAAACCATAAAAATGGGGGAAATACAGTGGGCTTTTATGTATTTTGTCAATTTTTTAAACCAATATATTATTGTTTTAGATTAGATGATGAAAAAAGTTATATGTGTTTAGATACTGTGGTGTTGGAGTTCAATCAATATGCTCCTGGATCACGATGGAGACATACGATGATACACAGGAAAGAGCATCGTGAGGAAGGAAACGAGGCAGATGGGTTTTATGGAGGAATCAGAAAACTAAATCGTAAAGATGAGATTTCAATGTGGGAACAATTTTGGCCTGCTGAAATCTTGGAATAATAATAGAAAAATCTCATTTATAAATGTATAACACTCAAGTAGGAAGTTACTTGTAGGTTACTTTTCGTATACCCGTACGTTTTAGAATTAGAGATTAAATTACAGTTTTAGTCCCTGTGTTATATCATTTTTACATTGTTTCCAGAAAGAATAATTTTTTTGTAATAATTGTCCTTATACATGTTTACAGTGAAAAATGACTTTCGCCCACGGTTTCTTGAAGAATCATACAAATCAAACGTGAGGACGAAAAACGTTATGAAATTGTAAAATAAGGAGGAAACATGCAAAAAGATTCTCTTTTGAATATAAAAAAGAGGACCAAAACTATAATTAACTAAAATAAAGGTGTTATTCAAATGTGAAAGATACTTCCATGTATAATTAATTCCCTTTTGTATTTGATATTGAATTAAACAGTGAATGACCACCGAGATACTTTTTTAAGTAAACAATGAAATCACGATTTTTTATAGAATTAATGACGAATTCCAATTCTGTCGCTAATCGTTTGAAGCAACTTATATTTGATACCCATTTTGGATTCCATCGCTTCTTTCTTCCTCCAGTTCTTGAAGTAACTCACTTTCCATATCGTCACGATTTCTCTTTTTTGGTTGATTTCCTTCTTTCGAGAAGCATACCTGAGCAAAATTGATTTCATTTTCCCCATCTTTGATTCCGTACAGGTGGTCGATTCACTTGTGTTCTTCAATGGATTCACAGGTTCGATGATTCGATCCATTTGGCTTTGATTCTTGATCATGCTTATGGTTAATTCCTTTTGGTCCGATTCTATGGTGCGTGAAATGTTACGAGCCCTAAACGGTGAATATGAACGAGATCGCCGATGAACGCTCGTCCTTCTACCTGGTTCTTCGCTAACTTTTTCTAACGCAATCATGAAAGGATCAAAATCGTCGTTCCATTTGCACCGGTGAGGAAACGGGCTTCTGGTGCGTGACCTAACAGCCGTCGGCGACGTGGGAACTGAGCGCTGGAGGCGGGGAGGGAGTTTTAAGGGCAAAACTTTACCGTTGCAGAAAAGTTCATCAGCAAACGCCGTGGCGGAAATCGATGGTGACCATCCATCATCTAATCTCCGACTAGAACCGAAATCAAACTCGTCGTCGATGGTTTTCCGATCACCGACCTGGTGGAGGGGGCTTGATCTTGAGCTGTAGAATCGGAGATTTTGTGGGCTGCAACCACCGGGAGTTGTGGGTGCGCTAAGATAGAACGGAGGGAGGGATAGCGAGTCCATTGTTGACTGAGTTGTGGAGAATGTGGTGGCGAGTGATGAGGCTATAACGCCATTAATGGGAGAAACGGTGGCCTGAAAAAGGGGATTTGAGGAGGTAGTGGGTGTCAACGAGAATCCTGAGTTTAAGGTTGAAGAAATTCAAATGTGTTTGACCACTTTATGGGCAATTAGGACAAAAGTAGTATGTAACTTTCTTTTCTAACATTTTTTAAATGTTTAAAAAAAAAAATTGAATACCATTTTTATACATATTCAAAACGACAACCATGTCTTACTCATTATATCGACTTTCTAAGTTACTATGTCGACATAGTTAAGAAAATTTAGAGATAAAAGCTCATAAAGAATAGATATTGCAATTTCTAAGAACAAAAAAAGTAAAAACTTAATAAAATAAAATATTGTATTTATTTTATTTTTATGATGTTAAATAAAGATTTGTGATAGAAATGAGAGGATGGATTGTACGTCGAATCATTTGAAGGAGGATTTTGTTTGGTCATGTATCCAAAAGTTTGTCCTTGAGAAATCACATCTTAATGAATAATGACAACGACCACAGTTATGTATTATATGTTGCGTTAAGATCATTTAAGCGCAAACAATAATTGTAAAGTGCGGAATTAGTAAAATAAACAATATTATAACAATAATATCTAAACAAATGAAAAATAATATGAAGAACTAAGTTGTGTAATAGAACTTCCAAGTATATTTGGTGTATGCAAGAAATGATAAAGACTTACAGTATATACTCTATTATTTAGAAAGTACGACAACGGCTGAAAATAGTATGTTTTATGAGTTATATGGTATGAATTTTATTAGGACATGTTACAATATTTATACAAAATTTTACAAATGGTCATTTTGGTTTTAAACTTATTTTCAAGTAGTCTTTATAAAACTATATTTTTTTTTTTTTGCATTAATGATATTTTGGAGAAAACTTCACGTACAAATAGTCCTTATGATTAATATCCGCTAAAGAGAGATGTTAAATCCTCATAAAAACCATTTGTGAAATTTTCTAAAACTTCACATAAGTACTATTTATGAAATTTTTTAAAACATCACATAAAGACCATTTGTGTTTTTTTTAATAAACCTTGTATTAATCATCACAAAATCAAATAAAAAAACATAAAAAAAATTCTAATATTTATATAAATTAAAAAAAATAAAACTTACCAATTTTAATCACCATATAAATATTTTTTATTTAAAATATAAATAATTTTAGTTATCAAAGTAAACTGTAATACATAATTAACTATTTTCTTTTCTATTTTTTTTTTATCTAAAGGTGTTTGTAGTATAAAAACATCATTCATCTTCAAGTATTTAGATAAAAAAAATTTGAAAATGTTTAATAACGTATTGTCTTTTAAATATTTTTTATAAATTTTAGAAAGCAAAAAATATTTATATATTGCATAAAATATATTTGTATGCTGATTATATATATATATATATATATATATATATATATATATATATATATATATATATATATATATATATATATATATATATATATATATATATTTCTATGTTTTAGTTTTTTGCATTTTTTTTTTGATTTATGATAATTAATATAAGATTTAATAATTTTTTTTTTCAAAAAGAAAACAAAATTTTCACAAACTGTCTTTTATGCGAAGTTTCAGAAAAATTTATAAATGATCCTTATGTGAAGTTTCAGAAAATTTCACAAATGGTTTAACATACATTTCTAACAGACATTTAGGGTGTGTTTGGTGCGCCACAGCTAGCTGATAAGCTAACTTATTTTTCGAGCTTTTTTATGTTGTCGTGTTTGGTAAGCCAGAAAGTAGATTATAAGCTAGCGTTTTGAAAAGCTACTTAGACTAGCTTTTTAGGAGCTTTTTTAAAATTTTCCAAATACACCCCTTAATTAATTATAGAAACACATATTCTTACATGTCCTTTTATGTAATTTTATATATTTCAGCTAACTTTTCAGCTAGTTTTACCAAATGTTATTTTTTATCAGCTAGCTTTTCAGCTATCACCTAGCTTTTTATTTAACAGCTAACTTTTCAACCATGAACTAGCTTTTCAGCTAGTCCACCAAACATAGCCTTAGTCATAAGGCAATTTGTTTGCCAAGTTTTCTTCAAAATTACCATTCATGCAAAAAACAGTTCCGTAAGGACTGGTTTGGGGATAAATTTATTCTGGACCATTTGTGAAACAAAGTTCACGCACCTACACATCATATTCCACTAATTCCACGAAAATTAAACCACCTCAAAGATAATGGATTTCTTTTTTGTGCTAACACATATTCTGTCGGAACCATGATATCTTGATTATCTTCGAAAAACATGAAATGATCCCACAGCAATTAGTGGAAAGAATCACAATCCAATGCCAACAAGGTTAATGCAGGTCGGTCCAAATCAATTTGAGGCCCAAAGCAAAATAAAAAAAATAAGACTCTTTAAATATAAATATATATATATATATATATATATATATATATATATATATATATATATATATATATATATATATATATATATATATATATATATAAAATGTTTAAATGTTTTTATTATGTATTGTGTGCATGTATGATTGATTCTGAACCAATTATTTTGGTTATTTTAAGAAAATAATTAATGTATATTAAATACTGAATATTTAATTAATATTTATTAAATCTTCAACATATAATATACATTAATTTTTTTTAAATAACTAAAATGATTGGCCCAGAATCAATCCTACATGTACACAATAGATAGTTAGAACACAATAACCTAGGCATATATATATATATATATATATATATATATATATATATATATATATATATATATATATATATATATATATATATATATATATATAAATTGAAAAGATTTGTATGCAAAGATGTTGGACTTGGATAAATGATTATTGTAAACCATTTAAAAAGAATATTTCAAAAACAAAACACAAAAGATATGCAATTTAATTACAACAAATTTTAGCTACATTCTTTTTTTTACTGATTTAGATGAAAGACATAAAATGTCTAAAGTTCAGAAAACCATTGAGTCAAGTGCACCCACTCTTACAACATCAAGAAGAATTATAAAATAAAACTACCCCTAAGGGCAAAATGGTAAAGATGCCAACCAAAAATAATTAGGGCAACAACATGAACACTATGAAATGAATTTTATGCATGCAACTTAACATTTCGACACATCAACAACATTGTATTAGTCCCAGAACGCGTTTAAACAACATCAGGGGTAAAATGGTAAATGGTAGGTAAAATACGTAAGACTCCATGAATTAACATTGCAAACGCAATTAGATATCCATAATTTCTTTAACTATATACACAACAACTCTGGGTAACACACAACATGGCTGAATGATCCAGAGCCGAACCAAAAATAAAAAACCACCAAAGTCGGCTTTACTGCTTTATAGGAAGGAGCTTTGTATGAATATTTAATTAATATTTATTAAATCTTCAACATGTAATATACATTAATTTCTTTTAAATAACTAAAATGATTGGCCCAGAATCAATCCTACATGCACACAATAGATAGTTAGAACACAATAACCTAGGCATATATATATATATATACAAAAACCATAAATTGAAAAGATTTGTATGCAAAGATGTTGGACTTGGATAAATGATTATTGTAAACCATTTAAAAAGAATATCTCAAAAAAAACACAAAAGATATGCAAGTTAATTACAACAAATTTTTGCTACATTCTTTTTTTTTTTTTTACTGATTTAGATGAAAGACATAAAATGTCTAAAGTTCAGAAAACCATTGAGTCAAGTGCACCCACTCTTACGACATCAAGAAGAATTATAAAATAAAACTACCCCTAAGGGCAAAATGGTAAAGATGCCAACCAAAAATAATTAGGGCAACAGCTTGAACACTATGAAATGAATTTTATGCATGCAACTTAACATTTCAACACATCAACAACATTGTATTAGGCCTAGAACGCGTTTAAACAACATCAGGGGTAAAATGGTCAATGGTAGGTAAAATACGTAAGACTCCATGAATTAACATTGCAAACGCAAATAGAGATCCATAATTTCTTTAACTATATACACAACAACTCTGGGTAACACACAACATGGCTGAATGATCCAGAGCCGAACCAAAAATAAAAAACCACCAAAGTCGGCTTTACTGCTTTATAGGAAGGAGCTTTGTATGAGGCACTAAAATGCTGCAACAACACCAATAAATTTGAGTAAGAAGCCAAAAATTCTCGAGGACTTTCATAAACCATCAACCGCCGATAAGGATCATTTTTATAGCATCTTGACCTGAAGAGAACAAGATTTGTAAGAAGAACCAAAGACCATCTATATTGGTAAGTAGGAATAAAAAAACTAATCTAAATCAGAATTAAGTACTTGTAGATTTTATCAATTAAAACCTCAAACTCAGATCAAACAATAATGGATATGTATGTATTAAAAAACACCACACAAAGAGGAACAAGTGAATAGAGAAACAAGATGGCATATTTTTCGTTTTTTTCTTACATATTTATGAAACAATCAAGATTTCATGATGAATTACTCACTTCTTGAAACTATTGTAAAGTAATGGATAACGAGGGGACTTCATCAAACATTCGTGATTGCTTTTTGAAAAATGAAGTGCCATCTATCGGAAAGGCACATTAAATAGAAAAATAAATAAATAATTGAAGTGTAATGTATTAAAAAAAGATGACAAATGCAAGAATCGAACACGAGGACTCCACCATGCAAATTTATATGCATAACAATCTCAACTCCGAATAACTTTGTTTCATTTTCATATTATATTGTATATTATGCCAAACTTTATATACGTATACCAATTGTAACTTGTAGGCGGCCCCGATTTTGATCAGGCCCTAGGCGGTCGCCCAGCTTGCCCGTGCTCTAGGGCCAACCCTGGGTTAATGATTTAACCTCCTACCACACCATCCATTCCTCCACCACAAAAATTATTGCTTATTTGATTGCCTTCTTTAACAAAACCTTTTAAACTGATATTCTTTTGAAACGCAGAACATGCCTCCTGTCACACCCCAAAACCAAGAATGGCGGAATACGTTCTAGGGTGGAGGACGTCATGTACAGTATCATAACAATGCATAATAGTAAAGACAAGCAACAACATCCATTTCATTAGTATAATATTTGTAATACAAACGTGTTCTGTACAGATAGACACCAAAAGTATAAACAAAATAAAAGATGAGTCTTGTAGATATATACTCCATCTTCTCAAAAGCTGCATCTGTACCTGCCTACTGATGACCTGAGAATACAAGTTATTTTGAAAACGAGTATCAACATAAAGCTGG